ATCGCTATTTACCAGTTAATCATAAAGGCAATTCGAGTAGATCGCATGGTGAAATAGACGTCAGACTTAAAAAAAAAATTATTTTCATTTTCATTTTTTAAATAGATGTCAGCCTATCAATCCAACCTCACTATGCAATTCGTAACTTGATTGACATACAGGTTAGCCAATCTGTGACCGGACCTTTTCTGACACATAGGTCACCACGCATGCGCATACAACTGCACCCATGATTGACATACAGGGCAGCCAATTTGAGACTAGACCTTTTCTGTCACATCGGTTACCACACATGCACAAACAACTGCGCTATAAACAAACAAATTGCCTAGTAATAGCCTCCAGTTTATTTTTTCTGATCTAAACTCAAGAAAGTGTGTAAAATGAGTGGGAGAGCTAGACCAAGTAAGAAGAAAAAAAACTTTCTTTTCCATATGGATTGGGAGGACTTTTTGTTCCATGATGTCATATTTGAAGTACGTTTGACTCATTTGCAAGTGTGAGTGGCATTATCGGACTATTCATCACAGCTATGACACTGACTTTTTTGGAAAAGCGAGCTGAGAAAGAAAAAGGTGAAGGAACTAAAATCCTCGTTATCCGGACAGCAGTCATTTTTCCTACAGCTGATCACAAAAGTGAAGGCAGCTACCAAAGCATCATTCCTGGTGAGTCACTTTAATAATTGTTAAGCACAAGAAGTCTTTTCAAAACAGAAAAATGATTAAAGAGGCATTTGTTGAAGCAGATGACTTACTGTTCCGAGACTTAAAAAATAAATCAGAAACATTATCTTCAATCAAAGCTCTTCAGGTATCGCAAAGTACGTTACGGTTAAAAGCCAGCCCTACAGTCAGGTGTGAAGAACACAAGTTATTGCTGTGTTTTGTTTTTTATTTTGTACACGGACAGTTTTGGGTTTTGCCATTTATGTTGCATCTACAGTGAGCTCGGACTTATTCATTAAAGCTTTATTTATACAGGTTAGTCTCAATGAGTCACGAGGACTCTTTTATAAGACAGACCTGTTTTAGACTGACAACAACAGTAAAATGCAATTAAAATAAAAGTAGTGTTATAAAACAATAAGTCAAGGTGCCATATAAAACACAGTAAAATACTAAAAAGAATGTAAGAATGTAAAACAAGAACATAAAACAAATAAAGCATACTTATTATGTTTATAAATAAGTATATGTTTTGTATTTTTATAGTAGGTAGATCACTTTGACTTGGTCATTTTGAAAGTAGTTCGCATTCTGAAAAAGTGGGGGCACCCCTGGTCTAACGCAACTTCAGACTGAAGAACTAAGGCAAGTCTCAAACTTGAAGAGCACAAGGAACATATTCTCTTATGCGAGGAACACAAGGAAAACAAAGTAAATTCACAATGTCTCAGTTTACACTAGGAGCTCTGGCCTCTCAATGAATACCATTAGTAGACAATGTCTCGGCATCTTTCTTTAACAGCCTTGGCCTTTAAATACAGCAAGGTGGCTCATTAGTGGAATGAGATACAGCTGAGAAGAGAACTCCACCCTGCTACTCAGGTGATGTAAATACAAACAAAACTGGAATCTCTACAACGTGGTCCACAAAAACATGATGAAGGGCCTTTTTAATGACTCAGAGCCCTGTGTTTTGATCCCACCCACTTTCGATCAACATTGTGATTGGTCAACTTACCTGTCAGTTATTAAACAAACTCATCTTGCAAAGACTTTGACTCAGTTTAGTCTTCTCTCCTGACAGTAAAGTCCTAACCAGTACTCATACCACGAGGATCGATCAACAGAAGACACCATCTCTTCTGTGGTCCACACTGCTCTCACCCACCTGGAGAAGGACTCTTATGTTTGTATGCTCTTTGTGGACTTCACAACTACCTTCAATAGCATGATCCCCCAGACCCTGATGGACAAATTACTCACACTAGGACTAAGCTTCTCCATTTGCAATTGGGTCCTGGACTTCTTAACAAACAGACCACAGTCTGAGAGGATCCACAACTTTTCCTGTCCACCATAACCCTCAGCACTGCCTCCCCTCAGGGCTGTGCACTGAGCCCTCTCCTGTTCACTTTGCTCAGATATGACTTTGCACCTACCCATCCAGACTGTCATATTGTAAAGTTTGCAGATGACACAGTGGTGATTGGATGCATCACAAACGATGAGTCCAGCTACAGGCAGAAGGTGGAAGACCTGGAGAGCTGGTGCAGTAAGAACAACCTTCACATCAATGTAAAGAAGACGAAGAAGATGGTTGTGGACTTCAAAAAGAACAAACACACTTGCCCCCCACCCCCCACCCCGAACATAGGAGGATCTGCAGTGGAAGTGGTCTCCAGTTACAAGTACTTGGGCGTGTACCTGAATGACAACCTCAGCTGGGGCAACAACACTTGTCCTAAGCATTTCATTGCATTGTTGACCTTCTGTTGATTTTGCATATGACTAATAAACCTAACCTGAACCTGAACACTACCAGCCTGATCAAAAAAGCACATCAGAGACTATACTTCCTCAGGAGGCTGAGGTGAGCTGTCTGTGAAGCTCAGTCCCTCACCTCCTTCTATAATTTACAGTGGAGATCATCCTGTGCTCCAGCATCAATGAGTGGCATGGAGGCTGCACAGCTGCAGAAAGAAAAGCTTTGCAGAGAGTGGTGAAGGCCACACAGAAAACTGTTGGAGTCAGCCTCCCCACCATCACTAACATCTAAACCTCTAGATGCAGGAAGAGGGCCACTTGCATCATGAAAGACCCCACTCACCCAGCACATACACTTTTTTCCCCACTCCCCTCAGGCAGGAGTTTGAGGAGCATTAAGTGTAGAACCGCTAGACTGAGGAACAGCTTCTACCCTGAAGCTGTTAAATTCATGAATCCCTAATCAGGATTATCTCTGTGAAAAAAATCACTGTAACGCCACTTGATTGTTGATATGTGCTGCTGACTATCTATGTTGCTGATGTTATGCTGCTGATTTATTTCACGCTGCTGTGTTCATTTGTACTCATCTTCTCACACAGACTCATGTTTGTGCTGCTGTGTGTCGGCGTATTGTTTTTGTACTACTAGTGCTCAGCGTATTCTTAGTTTAGCATATTTTTTAGTTCATAATGTAGATCTTATTACTGTTTTTCTTTACAATTTATACTTTTGTTGGATGGGACCCTGTGTATACAATTTCGTTCCACCACATGTACCACATGTGGTGCAAATGACAAATAAAGAAACTTTGACTTTGATAGCTGCAAAGTTGACTAAGTTCACAGCCATTCCTGTGTTGGCTAAGGTTGATTAGCTGTGGCAGCCATCCTAACAGGTAAACTTCAAAAGTTAGTTAGTTCCATATGAACATCTAATGAGTATTTTCTGGCATTTTTAATCAAGTTTCAATCCAGATCTTTATACGCAGTGGAGAACCCTCAGGGCCTTCTATGCCTTCGGTGAAAACTAATTTTTTAAAAATATGTATTTTAAATAAAATAACTTTTCAATGTACAAAGTAGTTATTCTCATTTTTTGCTAATACTCTGATTTTTTGTAAGCTTCTTTGCAGTTGAGCAAGTAACATTGTAATTCATTAAAAAAAGAGTTATCCAATCCAAGTCCTTTTAAATGTCTCCAGGAAGAAGCATGTTTGAAGGTTATTTGTCAATGGTTAGGGACGAGTTAAAGATGTCGGCCAGCACCTCACAGAGCTGATCGGCACAGTCTTTCAGCACCTTCCTGGGGATGTTGTCTGAGCCAGTTGCTTTGTGAGGATTAATCCTCCTGAAAGTACTCCTCACCTCGGCTGAGGTCACGCTGAGAAACTCCACTTTCTCAGCTCAGATATTGCTCATATATGTATATATGCTGTCTGTCCGTCCTTCCGTCCGTCCGTCCGTCCGTCCGTCCGTCCGTCCGTCCGTCCGTCCGTCCTTCTATCTATCTATCTATCTATCTATCTATCTATCTATCTATCTATCTATCTATCTATCTATCTATCTATCTATCTATCTATCTATCTATCTAATCTAATCTAATCTAATCTAATCTAATCTAATCTACATAACATGCTCAGAAAAGCCATGTCCTTTGATTCATTGCATAAATGAAGATATGAAATTTCAAGGTGATTCACCTTCTTCTGCTGATGTTTGCTGTCCCATTCCGGAGTTGCCTCATCTCGTTCTTTTGTTCTTTCCTTTCTTCTCTCCCAACCACTTTTCATTTGGCTTCCCCCCTTCCACCTAATGCCAAATTCTCTCTTTTCCTTTTCATGTTCCTGTCAGTCTTATCTGTAAGTGTTTTCTCTCCTTCCACCATGGATGATGCCATCCATCCTCTCATCCTCCATCCATCCCTTATGCTCCTGCTTCCCCTATGTCCCATGGCAAAGCTTGCCGTATTAATGTCGTTTGTCTGGTGTGTTTTGATGTCTGCTTCTGGTCATGGTTGGCGGAGGAATAAGCACCTCTAAACCTGTCTTAGTCCCTGAGATGCAGCAGTTTATTTATACCACTTTCTTTGTGCGTGATCTGTCAGTCAAGCCAATCCTCCGTCTCCTCTCCCAAGTCTTCAGAGACTGACAGACAGACAGACAGGCAGCCTGCTATAGAAGCTATTATAACACACACAATCTCATTAGTGCAAGAAAGAAGAATATGGCTGACGGATTAACTGTTGCTCTCATTCCTCAAAGCAACTTTGTAGTGTTGCATCAATTACGCATGGGTAATAGGTGTCAATGGCAAACTGACTCTGACAATACATAGCAATTAGGTGGATTTGTTTCAGCACTTTTTATGTTCTGTGACTTAGGAGAAGGACAACAGCCATGTGTTCATTAGGGGACTACTAAGTAGAGACAGCACTCAAATTCCTGTCCATTTCTTTTCTATCTCCTATTTGCCCTCTCCTACAGTTTTCTATTTTTTTGTGCTATACTTCTACTTTTAGTACTTTATCTAGGACTCTACGCTCTTCAGTATGCTTGAGCTCTCTTACCTGTGAAGCTGACATTAAGAATGTAATCCCTGTAGAGTCGGCGCCCATCCAAGGCCTTCATGCTGTCACACATCTTGGTAGTGTTGAAGCACAGGCTCCGCTGCATATTGTGGAGGGCATGGGCCATGGCATACACTGCATTCACCACAAACATGATCTTGGACTCTGGTTCAAAGTGCCCTTTGTCCATTGACAAATCCTTGTCACATGGCGGTAGGGGGGTCCCTCCCAGTCCTGATCCTCCCACTCCCAAAGAACACTGGAATCGCTGCTCCCAAAATTCCCTGAACCAGGGATTCCGGTGGTTTCTGCCTGGGTTCAGACTGAGAAAGTAGCGGTTGAAGACTTGTAGAGGGTTGGCTGCCAGTTCAAGTGTGATAGCTCCTTCAGCTGTGACCTCATTTCCCTTGACGATGCTCTCCTGTGCCCCCCAGCCATCACTGGCCACCCATATGAAGGAGGTGTTCAGCCTGGCAGCAGCTGCAAGAAGCTCTCTGGCATCATCACTGCGCAGGAAAAGGACAGCCACGTGGGCATTTGGCTTTTGAAGGAGCTGACGGATAACAGCTTCATAGGACTTCTTAGCGTTTGAACGCCCCACCTGGAAAACAATAAAGAACAAATTCTCTTTTTCTACTTTTTCAATTCATAATCATCTTTTAATAAGCAATAAAAGGATGTTTTACAGTTTCAAACCAACTTGCTCTATAGTAAATGGGATGAAAAATATATCTGTGAAAGAACCCAGAATGAGATAAACTTGAATTTTCTGCCTCACAACTGATTATGCCACACTAATATGAAATTCTGTTTCAGAGTAGCATGAGATAAGCCATAAAGGAAAATTTGTAGAAGCAAATTTAGATTTTGCTTGATTACTGCTTACACACTTGAGATTAAAAGTTTGACATTGTATAATGGAAAAAAAATAATGTTTTATTTGATTCAGTTTCATTTGATTCACTTTCATTTGATACCTTCTCTGAAGTGGCAATGCAGATGTTCCTCATGCGAGCCTCTTGTTCAAAGGCCTCTATACCAGTTTCACCATAGTCCCCTTCTGACGCCACGGTGGACACATATGTCCAGTTGAAGAAGCGGAGGATCTCGGCCATGGCTTTGGCCTGGTAGAAGTCAGGAGGGACGGTTCGTGCAAAGTAATCATATCGGGTTTTGTCGCTGAGCTTGGCACTCGTTGAAGCATAGCTTATCTGAGGGATTTGAAAGAGCCTGAGAAGATTGGCAACCTGAGATGAGAGTGAGAGAGACAGTAAAATGACACATGAATGAGGTGACATTTTTCTAAATGTTTTTATTTTGGCTGCTTCCTTTGACAGGGATCACCACAATGAGCAAACTTAGATAAAAGATTTGACAGTGGTGTCATGCTAGATGCCCTTCCTGATGCCCTTCCTGACACCCTTATCATCTGTAATATACCAAACATGATAACACAAGAGCATCATGGTTACTTTTGTTAGTTTCATAATAGTAATATAAGTGTTAAAAAACAGCTATTAAACAAAGAAATGAATTAAAGGCCTAGCATTCATTGAAGGAATGCTTATCACCTGCTGCCTTTCATAACAGTGTTTAAATAAATTAATCTTTTGCTGAGAAGAAACAGTTAATTCATCCACAGCAGTTGATTTGTGCACATGTATTTGACAATTTGTATGTGCAGAGTATTCCTACCTGTGCAAATTGAAATGTGTGCACTTAAAATTGAAATTGAAATGTTTACATTGTAAAACAAGTGAACACAAAAAAACAGTTTATTCATTTGTGAACATTGTGGTACGCATTTGTAAAACTGGTCGAACGCTTGTGGATCTTATTACACTAATTTCAGATCAGTTCATTCATTAAACCATTTGAATTATTCCAAGGTTGGAAATGGGAAGACACTTTTTACCGGTTTTGTTTTTGGATTTGATAGAGTCGTACAAACGTGCTTCAAGTAATTATAATAATAATATCTTTTTCAGTTTCTACCTCAAGAGATAATATCATTCTTTGTTGGTCAAAGTCACAACAGTGACTAGTTTGTTGTCAAATAGCCTCATCTTGCAAAAATTACAAAATCTCTGTACAATCCAATAAAATATGGAAAGACAGACTAAGGGTTTTTTTCTCTCAACACACTCTTTTGGCTTGGACTTTCAGACTTAAAGTTCATTCAGATCAAAATGATATTTTTCATCAGATCAGAAGCTGTGTGAGCCTCAGACAGTCCATCAGAGCCATCGCAATAACTGAACCTCTGTTAGCACCACCCCTTTGTGTAGACCAAGTCAAGATGGTCACGAAAGCTCATCAACCAAAAATGGCTATACTGTACACCTAAGTGAACTTTTGCAGAAACTGAGCTAAAACCTGCTGTGGTAGTAGATGAGAATCATTCACAACATATACTCCAAGTATATTGACATATATTTCATGATGTTATTTTCAAGATTTGACCAAAATAGCTACAAGTCCATCATTTCTTCACATAAGAAGATAGTCTACAACATTGACATGAAAGGTGTGATGAGCAATGCTTAAAGAAATGTTAGGCTTTTATTTTGTAATTATAGTTGAGGGTGAAGTAATAACACTTTCTAGAATACATCAAAGAGGAGTATGAGCTAGCTTCAATTGCTCACTGAGTGTCCTATACTTTCAGTCAGTTTCTTTATGGTTTTCAACTTTTTTCTTTACGTTTCAACACTGCCATGTTTACCCACAACTTAAGACCGAGGGGGCATCCATCTCTCTTGAATCAGGGTCATTTTAATGTTTCAAAGATTAGTTTTTTGTATGTTCTCTCTACTTTTGCCCTTTACTTTTTATACTTCCTCATACTTATTTGACTGGTTTCCTACTAACATAGGTGTTAGGTGACTTTTTTACCCTGTCATTTTAGAATAATTGAACTGGAAATGAGATTGGATTATAACTGATTTGTACCAGACACAGATATTGAGTTGTAATCATTTTGAATTAGATAAAACTGAATGAAGTGGACCGCATCCAGCTGAATTTAAATTGGAACAGTTTTTTTTTCTTCTTTCTTATGTAGTAACCCAATATTTCTTTTTATTTCTAATTAGTGCTTTTTAGAAAAACTGAAATTAACTGTACCAAAATTGACTGATTAATTTTAATGAATAGCTCCTGTTCACATTTTTTTTTACCGCTACTAGTTTAATATTAGTTATTATCAGGTGTCTGTATAAATAATCTTTTCTGAAGGATGAGGTTTAGTGTAGTTTTTATTAACTCCTCAGAAAGTCACACCAAACAAACAAACTAAACAATAAAAGTCTGACAGTCGTGCTCATAAAGACTCACACACAGAGTCACAAGTAAACACAAAACTACACAGACATTCTGTTCTTGGTTCAGTTTAATCCCTCACAGAAGCGCACCACTCCGGGTGTTTCTATATTTCATTCAGAGTTCACTTGATGAGCTGTTTTGGCAACATGTCAGAATCTTAATAGACTAATAACATAGACAGGCAGAACACACATATTTTGACACATTCATGAACAATTGCAATGCTGCACACACACACACAACTGCAATGATGTATGTTTCTAGTTGTTCTGGCACTTTTAATGGTTTAGGTACAAAGGTTGACCCATTTGTTACGGACTGTCACACCGCAAAATGTAACCACAGCATTCAATGACCTGCCACCAAACAATGACCATAGCTTGTTTGTAAAGACACAGGGAGTTGACTGTTACAGAGGGAGGAGGGAAGGGAGGTGTACTGTAGAAAATGATCTAAAAATGTGGTTGAATGGAACCTAAAAGAAAGACAGAAAAAAAAGCCTAGCATTCCTTGAAGTAATGCATATCACTCGCGTCTTTAGTGTTTTAATATAAGATCATTTTATGTTGAGAAATGATGGACTTTGAACTTTGAAATCGCCAATATGCACAATCTCTTGGTTTTGTATGATCTATTAGTGTTTGTTGTGAATAACTGTCAGCTACTACCAGATTGAAATTTTGCTCATTGTCTGTAAAATTCACCGACACTCACTTATTTTGGTTTTGGTTAATGTCCGTTAGCTGTTGTGACATCTTGAATTAGACTGAGTTCAAAACAAGGTAACTGCAGATGTCCATTCATTGGTTACGTTCTAATAGTTTTATTAGAATCTGTTGAGATATTTGCTAACAGACAGACAGAGTTGATTTCAATATTTAACAGCAAAGGTTTCGACACAGATCTTGTGCACACTGTAAACACTTTGTCAGTTGGGGATCAGTCTAAGCCACCACAGCACCAACGCTTAGTTCAATATCCATAAAACTGATGGAATTATGACTATTTTTGTGTTTGCTAGAAACACTTTGCTGTGACCTAACAAGGTTGATCTTCTGATCGGATTCTTCTTTGTTGAAACATTTCAGCTTTTATCCAAAAGACTTTTTCAGTTTGAGACAAAACCAAACCAAAATGAGTGAACGTCAGTGAATTTTACAAACAATGAGCAAAATTTCAATTTGGTACCAGCTGACAATTATTCACAACACATATTCTAAACACTAACAGATCATGCAAGATCAAGAGATTGTGCATATTGGCAATTTCAAAGTTCAAAGTCTATCATTTCTCAACATACTGTAAGTCTCAGACTGAAGAAGTCATTTGGATAAAAGACGAAACATATCAACGAAGAAGAATCTGTCCAGAGGACCTGACTCAACCTTGTTAGATTTATCTACCAGGATACATCAGGACACTTTGCAGCCCAAAAATTACTTCCTGAATGTTTCGTTTAAATCCATTCCTGCTGTTTTTTTTTTTTCTTTTCTGTTTTGACGTGAACCCTTAGATTCACACATAAATACAGAACCTTGAATCTAGACTTGAGAAGACATTACATGGACTGGTCTTTGCTTATCCCCGAACCAAACCGCAACACAACACTATCTAAAGCTGGTCTTCATCCTAAAAATGGAATAATCTAGTTTATGGAGACCATATCCATGATGTGACTCAATGTAAACAGATTAGACTTACAAACATGAGTAATACTGAGCCCAGGCTCAAACTCACACACAGGCACATAAATTAGGATGCATACACACAAATGAATGGAAGGGAAGAGCACTGTGTGCTAAGTAAATGCCTTGGAGGCATTAAAGTGCATGGCTAAACATAAAATAATTTCCTACTACTTCATTTAGAAGCAATAGACAGACTGGCCAAGTAGCGAGGCACAGCTAGATTAGCATCACTGGCAGGAGATCAGAAAGCATCGCAGTCTGAGGTCTCGTAAACAGCACTGACTTTAGAAAATATAGGTTAAACAAACAGCAAAAGCAACAGCGAGCAACAAGAATGAGCTGCAAGAAGACAAAAGATAATCATGTGGGATGAAGGACAAATGGCTGCCCCCAGGGAGGAGGAGAAGGACAAGAGGGGAAAAAAGGCGGATGAGGTCAGCATCCACTGAGCTCTCCTCAAATAGCCAGGGGGGATGCCTCTGGATGCTTATAAAGATACAGAAAAATGAGAAGGAGGGAGTGATGAGAAGGAGCAAAGCCGAGATTTAGCGCACAGAAAAAGACCAATACATAAAACAGGGGAGAGACACTTTAAGAAAGGCTGAGATGACAGAGACACTTGCAGAGATTAGGGATTTTAGAACTGATAGGAGGAGGCTTTTGTGCAATCACAGAGGAGTAAGGGGGAAAAAAGGGGTTTTATGCTAAACTATGCAAATAACCGGCTCTGTGACAAGAAGCAACAAGAGCTGGGAAAACACAGACGAACACAATAACTGAAGTTAATTCTAAGAAATGTGAACACATCATTATGCAGCCACATAAACGCGGAAACATGGGAAGTGAAACTCATCAATTTAATCTAGACTTTGCACACTTGATCACAGAACTTGTACAAATGGACCAAAAGTGTATTTTTTTCTTTCATTTTATTAATAGCTCTGCAAAAGAATTATTTTTACCTGTATAGAGACACTGCTGAAAGAGCCTCCAATGACTCCTGCGATGGCGAGTGGGCTGTCGTCTTGCAAGGCGTACGATCCATCTGGACAGATGAACTCAGTGTCGTCCACCTTGGTGAGAGAGGCTCTCACAAACTCCAGAGCCTGAGAGCCACATATACGTAGATATTTTAAATCATAGCAATGCACCATACTGGATACCATATGGCCTATACTGTCCTGTCTGTCAATTCTTTATCAACTTTAAAACTGTGTTCATATGAGAAATATGCTACCCGAATTGAATCAAACAATTTCTTCTTTTTCACACAAAATGTACCTTTTTGAAGGCAGTAATCATTCCTCCGTGCACATTTGAGAGATTAGGCTTAAATAAAAGCTCAAATGGCAAATTAGTGCCCTGAAGCAAAGGCACCACATTTCTTTATGTATAGTAGGCAAACAAGTCAAAAGGAGAGGGACGGGTTTTAAAAATTAACAGTTCTGTAAAATATCCTGATGCATGCTCAATAATCCAGAATTCTGTAAAATTCTGTAAATTCTGTAAAATTACAAATGCATAATCTCTGAATGGTTTATTAAAAAGATACGTTTTCTAACACTAACAATCCCTGATGGGAAAGAATGTGCTTTTAGTGTTTTAAAACTTCTTATCAAAAACATTTTTGTTCTCTTTTTTTAATTAAAAACATTTGCCATTTTTTAGACCCAAGTTTCTTCATCCATTTAATTGAATTACATCCATTTCTTTTAATATTGCTGAAAATTGATATGAAAGCTAAAAAAATAGTTCTTAAAGCTAAAGAAGCAGAACACAGAACACTTGCAAAATGCAAGCTAAATGTTAATAATAATAATAATAATAATAATAATAATAATAATAATAATAATA